GACTCACAGGAAGCACCTTCCTGTGAAGTCAAAGCCTTCTCTGAAATTTTTCTCCTCTCTGTGTTACCGAGTCAGTGTTAGCCTTATGGTCTTCTTGGCGACTCACAGCTCACAGGACTCACTTTAGCACACCCTAGTTTAGTGGTCACTGAAGACAGAGACCAGGTGTGACTTTCTTGAGAGCACAGAGTAGAACTGGGCCATCCAGAATCCATTGTGTCTTTTAGCTACTTGGTCAAAATTTATTCCCCAAACATTTAGCAAATGTTTATATCCAACCCTGAGCACAGAAAGAGAAACAAGAGTAGTCTGGGGAAACAGGGAATTGGGTGGGGGGATATTTGGAAAGAAATAATTACCAGACAGTGTGTGGATGAAAGGTGTGTACAGGACAAGGAATGACTAATTCTGTCCGGGAGAAGAGATGCAGGAACAGGGTGGAGAAGGAAACTTAGGGAGTTCACAGGAGACTATCCCACAGGCCAGGGGAACAGTAAGTACATGGCAGAGGTGCCTCAAACTGTGATGTTCAGAAACCAGTGAGTTATTGGCTGGGTGGCTAGGAAATAAGCAGAGGAGGGGCAGGGAAGGCAGCTGGAAAGGCAGGTTGGGACCAGGTTCAGAAGAGCCTTAGTGTGCTGGCCCAATAGGAGCGGGCACTTCGTGTGTGTGAAAGGCTGCTTGCTTCCGGCCTTCTCAGAAGAGCCCATGACCCAATAATTACAATAATGACAATAATTTAGACTAATCACTCTAGATTTCATGCATGCCTTTTATGTTATGAGTTCCAGGCCAGCCAGGCTTAGCCTGAGCTTAAAACCGCCACAGTCTCCCTGCCTTTACTGTTCAAGTGCTGGGATTTCAGGTGTGAGCCACTGTTTTTAGTTTGCTTTCTGTTGGTGCAAAAAAACACCATGACCACAAACCGCTTGAGAAGGAAAGGGTTTATTTCTCCCTATGTCCAGAGAAGCCAGGGCAAGAACTCAAGATAGGAACTTAGAGGCAAGGACTGAAGCAGAGGCTATGGAGGAGTAAAGCTGACTGACTGGCTTGCTCCCCATGACTTGCTCACCCTACTGCCTAGGGGTGACACCACAATGGATTGGACCCTCCCACATCAATCATTAATCAAGAAAATACCCTACAGATCTGCCTACCCCACAGGCCAATCAGATGGAGTCATTTTCTTGAGGTTCCTCTTTGCAGATAACTCTAGCT